CGCCGCCCTCCGCCTCGGCGTCACCGGTTCGGCCCCCGGTTCTCCGAAGTCCCTCCTGCCTCACCGGTACGGGCCGTTATTTGGCAATTGAGTAAGAGCCTCCCCGGCACGTCAGGGAGCGCGGGCCTTCGCGCAGCTCTTGTTGGCGGCACACGGAATAGCAGCAACGTAAACCCTAAACCCTCTGCAACGCCCCAGCAACCGTGCGTGCTGCAGAGAACAAGCTATCAGGAGGAATTTCCAGCTTTGAAGCACATATTGTTCAATCCTGTTTAGAGAAGTTCAGGATCAACATAGGAAACTCTCACTGAAGCGGATGAGGGCCTGGGTTCAACTCGGAGCAGAGGCTCCTCTCTCCGGCTCACATGAAAACACAAAACTGGCCTTTGCTTATAGCTATCACCACCAAAATACAATTGAAGGTTTCCTAGCAAACCTGTGATAATGTTAATTACAACTTTCTGTAGATTAATCACTTCTAATCCACCTCGGCGATAACCATCCATGATAATTGCTCGTGATGGAAAGTAATAGGAGCCGGTTCACCCAGCAACTTCTTATCCAACAGTACGTCCCATGCAGCGATCAGATGGCTCTGGAACGGAACATCTTTCCAGCGCCCTGTCACAGCAGGGCTTCCGACAGCACGTACGAGACTTCCCCATTAGTTTATTCGTTATAGCTGAGTGAGCTGCCAAATTTGGGCACTGCTAATGCGCCCAGCTAGCGCACGGAGCGACCTGACATCCCAACTCGGATTCTTGTCCAGCTTCAGCACCTTCAGTCACAGCAGTGAGGCACAAACATCTGCCAGGAAGCTCTGCTCTAAAACACAAACTGTCGCTGCAAGTCGAGGTGTTTGGCTCACCAACCACCTCACACACCATGGGCCTTTCCGCACAAATGAGGTGCATGCAAACTGGTACCTACACACAAAGTGCCTTAGGAGAGCAGTTCTACTGAGAGAAAATCATTTTATTTGACAATAATTGGAGAAAAAAAAATGGCTTAGCCTCAAGTTAAGAGAAAGGCATAGGCAGATTTGCTGTTTTCACCCACAGCTCTCATTCCACACCCTCAAGCTTGACAGTCCAGGCAGACTGAGCAGACAGAGGAGAGGGAGGCACATGGGGCAACGTTATGAGCACTCCTTTATCGGGGGACTTCTGCCACTCCAGAGCCCCTGCGAGACCCAGCATGGTCACCTGCAGAAAGAGGAGGGGACACTCAGTTGTAGCTTGTATGGTGGCCTTCCACTCGGACATCCTCCTCCACCCAACACATTTGCAGTGTCCCTACACCGTTCCTGCACATTCAGAGCAGTCTGGGGTATTTCTGCCATAAGTCACAGTGTACAAAGGGCAACCCAATGGATACTCTGGCGACATTTGACTGTAGTTCTTTTTAACTGTGAAGTTTCCACTTGTGTTTGTTTAGAGCAAAGGGCATTCCAGCATTTGCGTCACGTACAATTACAATTACAATTAGCAGGTCAATGCACCTGATCTGAATTTGAGACAGGAAACCAGAGATCCTTTCTGCTCAGCGAGACATTTTTCATTTCCTTCTCACTGTGTCAATAGGAGCAGAAGATGGCAGGGAAGAAGAGCCCTCACCCATTCTGTGGTGGACTATGGGCCCGTCCTGCCGAGTCCAATCCACTGTTCTATAGAACAGAAGTGCAGGACAAGAAGTAAGAAATTAAACCTTTGCGCTCCCACCAGTTGCCAGATGAAGCGAGGCTCGGCCTGCCTAGGGCACATGTACCCGAGATGGGATCCCAAGGGGTATTAGCTGCTTCTAAAGCTCCTTACTTGCAAGTCTGGGGATGGAACAGGTGAAGCGAGCTTCAACAGACTGTCCTGGGGCCAGGTCAGAAAGATGGCATAGACCACTGGTCCTTTAGACGTATACCTAAGAGAGCAACAGTTCAGCAACATGAAGAGCTCCATACGAGAGAGACAGACACGAGCATGACCTCTTCAGACAACACGAGAACACCAGCTTGCCTACTGCTGTCATACAGGGGTCACCTATTTCCCTGTCACTCCAAAATGTATCACTTTGGACCCACCGTCTATCCTGTCAGCACTGGCTGATGAAAACCACACAAAGTCCACGCATGCCTCCTAAATGTGGACGTCATTTGCTCATCTGTCCTTGCTTCAGGCTGTGGTCAACAGAGTGGACACGCCGCCTCTTGCTGATCTTCTCACAGCTCTGCTTTTCTAGGCTGAACACATTTGGACATTCTTTCCAACTGCATGTGCACAGCAAGATATTCCTTACCTAACAGTTGAGGGCAGGGAATAAGCCCTCTGGTTGTAGGATATTTCCTAAAAACCATCCACACCCAATGGCAATGCTCCAGAGAGTATTAAACTTAATAACAAGAAAGAAATGTCAGCTCTGGAAGTCTCACTGCATGTTAGCTTTGTGTTTCAGAATGGTATTGAGCAACGGAGTCCTTACCAGACGCTGTTTGTGCTGTTCTCCATCTGCACCCTCCATGGCTTTGATTCATAAATTGCCTCCCCGTTAGTGTCCAGCCACCTCCCAAGTGCCAGAAGTCTCTCTTGGAAGATGGGAACAATCACCCCTTCTTTTGTAGGGCCCACATTGAGAAGGTAGTTGCCACCAAAACTCACAGTCTGCACTAGCTCCTGTGACAGATAAACCAAGGTAACAAAATGTTTTATCTTCACCTCTGACAATGAAGACACAGGCAACTGAGGAAGCATTCAGAGGCAGGCAGTAAAATACCTTTCTGTGTTAACATTGAATAGGGCCCATAGGGGCAGCCCCATTCCACTGTTTGAAGCATCAGTATCATTTGTACAGGGGAATGTGTATATCTGTATAAAGCAGTAAGGAAAAAATGTGTGTGTTTTTATTTTGGTTTGTTATTTCTAAAAAGACAACAATTAGAGAAGGACACAGGAAACACATGGAACATTAAATGATGAAAGATCCCTACAGCGGTCCTAGAGCTTGAAAAGACTGACAATTTTTATTTGCAAGGCACAGTCCATGTTTTTTGCAAAAAGCAAATGATGAACCAAGATGGGTGATGAGTTGGTTTCGTGTGTTCATCTTCACTCTTCGGGTTAACCCACCAGCCATAGTGTGAGGTCTCACTCCATACACATTGCCCAGCACTTCACTCCCCAATTTGTGCATTGGATCATCTGGAGCAGAAAGGAAAGCGCCAAAAAGTGGTGAAGAAAGTTGTCTTGAATCTTCTGACCTGAATAATCAGAGACACTGTTCTGAGTGATATGTAGGTGTTTGCCTTACAGTTTTTGATATCTACTTTTAATTGCAAGGAATGAGCATGCCATATCCAAAAATACTCAAATGTTATGAGTTTACACCTTCTCATTTACCAACTTCTAAGCCAGTAACCCCTCCTGGACTCTGTTTTGCCTTCTTAGTCTTCTACATGGAAAGAATGTGATCTCTGACCAGTATTTTTTCTTGTTCTCTAATAGGGAAAAATACAAATAAAATAACAGAAAGTGTTTTTGTGTTTGTTAAAAGCTATTCTTCACAAAGTGGATGCTTATCTTGAATAACTCACAGTGCTTATCTCCAGGCTAAGGAGTTTTTTTTCTTTTTTTTTTTTTTTTGGATTGACCATCATATGAAAACTACATTGCAGGCATAATTTGCTTTCACCTCATTTAGAGGTATTTATAAATTTGACTGAAGATTTCCTGCAGTGCTTCGATACATGCTAAGAAAACAAGAAGATTATTCAAACCATACATAATCAAGCATAGACTCTGACATTACTGTTTCTATGAAGCTGCTGAGCAACTCCTTATTGCAAAAACAGAGAGAGGAGAGATCAGTTGCCTGCTAGAATAAGCGTTTTAGTCCTGCAGTGACTTTACAGGAAAGATTACAGGGTTTGTAAGAGTAGTCCATCTGCCTGGGTTTCCACTGCGAAGATATTTGGAGTAATCTTTCTTTGAAAGCCACTGCTCTGTAGGATGACTACAGGGAGTATAAAAAAAAAATTAAACAGTTCCTTTGAAAGGTGTAAATGACTGCTGTCAATAAATGACAAAGAAACCTGTCATTAAATGTGGGTCTGTATTTTTTTGATTAGCTTTCCATCATAATAAGTACAGAGAAAGAGTATTTTGGCTTAGTTAATGCATTTCATTAATAAGTGTTACAGAGTTTAGAAGGATTTTAGAAATGTTATAAATTGATGAATATAACTGCATAAATATGTACAATTGAGAAATGGTTATATGTTTGAAGTCATTAACAAAGAGTAAGAAGATAAGTAGTAGTCCAAATGCTGCGGAGGGAGAAGCAGCTTAAACCACCTGTCTTGATTTTATTCATAGCAGATCAAGTGCCAAATTAAAATCCTGCATTGTACTAGATCAAGCAAAAGCCTTTGCATCTAAGACTATGCCAGTTTATGAGCAGGATTCTACATCATTGATCTGCATAATCAGGGCCCAGTTACAATGACCCAGGAGACCATTTGTAGGTGCACACAGACCTACAAATGTGATCACCAAAGACAATATTTAAAGGGCAGTACATAACATAGATACATAACATTTTTTGTTATGCAAAAAGGAAATAGCTCTACCTCATGACTAGAATGCCAGTGGTGAGATCTGTGTAGAACACTGTGGAAGAGCCTTAATCTTCAAAAGAATGATCCACCACTGAATACTGGATCTAATTTGCAAAGCTGAGGTCTTTACTGAACATACTCTAAGCAGGTGAGACCTGAACATTTTTGATTTGAAATTACATCCTCAACCACCTCATTCACCTTAACTATTAAATTCTGGTCAGTCTGGTCAAATTCCTTGTGCTTTGGCTTTTCTACATGAAAAGCAAGGAAGAGATTGTTCTGCCAATTTTGAGATTGTTAGGTTCTTGCTAATATGCCTTTAAAATACTACTATAAATTAAATAATTACTTGCTTACTAAATGTATATCAATTACAAGACTACAAGACCTAGAAATTCAGTAAATACCTTTAACTATGGTATCAGTTGTTCTTTTTTTTGTAAAGAAAATGATACATTTTGCTTAAAATAGAAGAATGAATTATCTGCTATGAACATTAAAAAGTCAATAATAATATACCAAATACTATTGGAATAACAATATATAAAAAATGGAATAAGTAGAATTAATTCCATGAGATTTCTATGAATTCTTAATGATACAGAGAAAACAGTAGCTTTATCAGTTGTTCTTTTTTTTGTAAAGAAAATGATACATTTTGCTTAAAATAGAAGAATGAATTATCTGCTATGAACATTAAAAAGTCAATAATAATATACCAAATACTATTGGAATAACAATATATAAAAAATGGAATAAGTAGAATTAATTCCATGAGATTTCTATGAATTCTTAATGATACAGAGAAAACAGTAGCTTTGAAGTAGATAGCAAACAAGTCTAATGTTTTTTGGTTTTCTATGTTGTGCTTTGTTTCTTCTTATTTTACATGAAAGCATATGGTGATCTTTTGTTGAACAGTTATTTGTAGCATGTACTGTGAAATAAAAATAAACAAATCAAATGTTAATTAGAAGACATTCATTTACCTTCTGTTAATAATCCTTTGGGTCATGAGCAGTGGCTAATTTAATCATAGGCATCATTTGTAAAAGGAATTGAGCCTGAAGCCATTGTACGTAGCTCATTTAAAAGGTAATTCTTTGTACTGTTCATTCTGTGATCAGTTGTCTTGTGGGATCTGAGCATAGGTGCAAGACCCCTGTGCTCCAGCTTGAAACTTACAGCAATCTTCCTCATGAAAACTAAGCAGCTCCCAAGACCACTATGGGGGGAGAGGGACAAGGGTGGGAGAAGAGAATGATATTTCTTTGGAGAGTATTCCCGGGCTCCACAGAGGAATATCACAACCAGGAATCCCTAGTCCTTTTCTGAAAAAGGTAAGACTGCTAAAATATTACATGACAGCCCAGAGATCTTCAGCTGATAGAAATCATTACTGCTGAGCTGACAGCAAAGAGTGGCACTGATTGCTGCCACCTGAGGCCTCGGGATAGTTCAGGGTGGGGGCAGAGGGATAGAAGGTACAAATAAGATCTTGTAAGATAAGCCTTAATTTTAATTGACCTAGAACTCAATTTAATTTGCCAATATGGATTGAGAGTTGTTATCAAGTTTATTTATAACTGTAAGGATGGAAATTCATCAGAGCATGCTTTTGTTACAGTCGGTATTTTATACCTGTAATAGAAGTGAAAAATAACTGGCCTAAATCAATTAAGCTGCTTTATGCAGCATTGCAACTTTTATGTTAATATATTTGAAAATAACAAACATATAGGCATTAGTTTTCTTGGTTATTAATATTATATATCTATAAAATATGTAAGTGATTAATTATCAAAATGAAAGAGCAGCAAGTTCTTCAGCATTTATTGATTAGTGTACAGGAAGCAAACAGCCTGAGCTGCTAAATACGCTTTCCGCCTCTACTGAAACTACGTGACCTTTACCGAGAGCCACGTAGCTGTTTCCTATTAACCATTTTATGGCTGGAGATGCTAGATTTGCTGCTGTGCTGTGACTAGTGGTGATTTCTGACCAGGTTCCTCTTGGAGGCCTGCTTTGGGCCGAGTGATGTGTGCTGCCCCAGGACCAACCGCCTTTGCAGAGCACAGGTGCCTGCCCTCCAGCAATGCTGTAAGTTGATTCGGTGGCCAAAACTATGCTCTTAGGTGGTGACTTATGGTGTCCCACCTGCCTAGGGACACCCACTCGAACACAGGCTAGGTGGGATCAAGGTGTCCTGCTCTGCCTGTAGGAGAGGAGCTCACCTCTGGGTTTCTGCAGCTCAGCTGAGGGCCTTAAGTGCTTCAGGCCTTTGTAGGGACTGAGCAGGAGTTGCCCAAGCCCCTGAGAAGGCTCGGTCCAGGAATATCATTCCAGAAGCAGCAAGAAAGGTCTTTTGTTTAGAAAGGCACATTTAGCAGGTGTTCCTGAGCAGACCTTGCAAGTGGCAGCCTCTTCAGAGTCCCAGCTCCTTCTGTGCCCATCGGGGTTGCCTCTCTGCCAGGGCTGCAGGTTAACCCTCATATGTTTCCCCCACAGTGAGGCTGGTTTTGCTGTGTTTAGCCTAGCTGTAGGGAACCTGGATGAAAATCAGTACTCCACATCCTCTAGGAGGAGGGTGATTTGAAGAAAGGAAGTGTCCTTATATTTTGGCTTCTGGGACTTCTGGTTAGAACAAAGTAACTGATCGTTTTAGATTGCTGCAAAAGCCATTTAACATGTATCAATACAAGGATATAAAATTATTTAATTCTGGAATTTCAGAAGTATTCGTACAGCAAGAAAAATTACTTCTGTGTACCTTTGCTAACAGTAATTTAATCTGGTCAGGATTTGTGATACTTTTTTCTCCATCTGCATATATATATGTGTGTGTGTGTGTATGGAGTTCGATTAACAGAATGATGACGGGCTTCATGATTACTTGGAAAATACATGTTGTCTTTTCTCTTAGAACAATCACAAAATCAGATTATGCAAATACTAGAAGGATCTATCCTGTGAAGAGTTTTATTTTTCCTGGTTGGGGATGGTGTTTGCTTTTAAGGAGGGGTGAATGACAGAGAACTTTTATACTTCAAAAGTAAAATGCAGTTGTTTTAACCTTCTAGGATTTAAGTTCTGTTTTAAATGAGCCACTTTTCAACCTACTGCTTAAGAGGATCTAGTTTTTCGATTTTCAGGGAGAGAAAATCAAATGCAGCATATTTCAAAATGTGATACCCCCAAAACTTTTGGAAGCTCTCTTGGAGCGTGCCCATATTGCTTCTTTGAAAGTGTGCTAACACAAAGCAGTATGTGCTTTCTGCTGTTAAAACTGTAGCTGTGCCTCTTGTATTCAAAACTTCAAGCTAGAATGAAAAAAGTAAAGATTAGTAATATTGCTCCATCATGCATAATGTCTGTATACAAAATGAATGCATTTTGTCACATGATTTCATAGTAATACTTTCTTTGCTGCTGGTACTGCTCAGCCAGAAGCTATTTTGTTATTCAACTATCTTTAGTGTTTATGAGCAGTTTGTCTTGCCCTCTCATTGCTACTGGG